TGTACTAGAACCCACATGAGAATTTTTTACATGTGCACCTCAGTGCACTATAGCGGAAAAAAAAATGTGATTTGAGATATAGTTTAGAGTGTGACTGTAGCGTCTCAGCCTCTTCACGTGAACTTGCCATGTCATCTCGCAACGGATCCCATCACCTCCCCTATAATGGCCTAATGGCGGCGAAGGTCAGGGCACGAGGTCCAAATCGCCCGGCCCATTATTTTAGTTCCATCTCCGAATAAAAATATTTAAAATAAATGGTTGAAATATAGAAAAAGATAGAGATAGAAGGTGGGACCGCATGTTTTTATTACAGCGTGGGCTCCTGTTGGTCAGGTGCAGATCACGTGGGCTCTACAGAGAGCGCGCTGCGCAAGTGGAGTAGTGCGTGCCACGTTGGACGAATCGAATCCAGACACGCTGGCTTTATACCACGTAGGCGGAAAGGTTGTTTTGAGTATTTGCCTCGGGGAGGGGGTGGAAAGCCTGCCATTATGGCAGCTTTCTCCCAAAACGCCTATTAAAGAGGCGTTTTGGGGAGAAAGCTGCCATGAATGGCAGATTTCCACCCCCTCCCCGAGGCAAAAAAACTCAAAACAAACAGCCCCGAAAATATCTGCGGGTAAAGGGGTGTGAGATTGTGACACCTGGACGTACGAGTTGAGCAAAACCACTTGGCAGGAGATCCCAGGATGTTAAAGTTGTTATGACGAAACTGCCCTTGCGAGAAGTACTTTCCTTAAGAAACAAAGGAAGAGGACAAAATCCTCAAAACCGACTTGATTTAGGGGCTGTTTGGTTGCATGTTTTTACCATTTAAAAAGATGGAAAGTGTAAAAAAATGGGTCCTAATGTCAGTTTTCATCACTTTTAATTGTTTATTTGTAGTTATAAAAATAATGTAAAGTGATTTCATATGCTGATGTGGCTTGTAAAATGATTTCATAAAAAAGAGACATAATTTTTGGAGAAAACTGACATTGAAGTCAAGAAAAAATAGTTCTAACCAATATGATCATTTGAGTAGGGACCACTTTTTACATTTTCCAAACAAACAATGAAAGTTACATTTACAAACCAAACAAGCAATTTATAATTCCAATGGAATAAAAAACAAACAAAGAAAAGTATAAAAGTTAAATTGATGAGGTGGACAACAACTTTCCAAATTGTGTCATAAATACATAACTTTACCAACAATAACCAAACATTCCCTTAATTAAAAATGAAAAAAGCAAAATATACAGAATGAAAGGAAAAAAGAAAAAAGAAAGTTTACTTTTTCAATCAAAAGTCATCATTCTTATAGCGAAAAGATATTGCCTAAAATTTGCACATAGATATTGCCCCAATCTCTTAAGGGGCTGTTTGGTTGGTTTCCTAAAATCAAAGAAAATAAAATATGACCCCGGAAATCATTAAAAGTTATTTTCCATCCATTTACTTCCTTAAAAATCACACACGACATTCAATAATATGGTGACAACTCATCTTATCTCATCTCCTTTCTTACTTTTAAGAATAAACTAAACACAAGAAATAGGTCACATCATCCATCTAATCTCATCTTTAAAAAGAGTCACATCATCCAATAATATGGTAACAACTCATCTCATCTCATTAAATTTTAATTTACATCTATTCCTCAAAAAAAATCATGAAATAGGTTTCTCTAAATATGAGTCACATCATCTAATAATATAATGACAACTCATCTCATCTCTTTTCTTAGTTTTAAGAATAAACAAAAAAAAAACACAAGAAAAAACCTATCGCGGAAAATAGATTTCTTACAATTGATTTCCTTATTTGTTTAGGGGCTGTTGTTTGCCTAAAAAAAGAGGGAAATCAAAGAAATAAAAAAATATTTCTAAGAAAAATTGTTTTGGGAATGTTTGGTTGGCTAAAAAAAAGGAAATCAAAGAAATGGAGATGAGATGATGTTAGTTGTCGCCTTATTATAGGATGATGTGAGTGCTTTTTTGAGAAAACTTGTTTTGATGTTGTTTGGTTGGCCAAAAAAAAAAAGGAAATGGATTATAAGAAACCTATTTCTTGTAATAGGTTGTTTTCTTTTGTTTGGTACATTCTTAAAAATAAGAAAATAGATAAGATGAGATGAGTTATTATTATATTATTGGATGATGTGACCCACACTTAAGGAAATATTTTTCCTAGCTTTTTGGGATGAAATAGGTGAAAATAAAATGTTAATGAGATGAGATGAGTTGTCACCATCTTATTGGATGGTGTGAGTGATTTGAAATGATGAGATAATATGAGTTGAGTGATGTTGTGGATAAAAATAATATTTTATTAGATATAATGGATGAGTTGTTGGATGAAAATAATATTTTATTAGATGTAGTGGATGAGTTGTTGGATGAAAATAATATTTTATTGGATGTTGTGGATGAATTTTAGGGATGGAAATGGATAAAATTGTACTTTTTGAGATTTCCACATTTTCACTTCCATTTCTTGGTTTTTAGGAAATCAACCAAACATACCCTTAGGGGCTGTTTGGATGACTTTAGGAAACTAGAGTATTTATGACACAAAATAGAAAGTGGTATCCACCTCACCACTTTCCATTCGAGTGTTTACATTATTTGGTTAGGAATCTTTATGAATCCTAAATTAATAGTATTACATTGTTTGGATAGTATAATGTAAACTATAATATTTATGACACAAAATGGAAAATGGTTATCCACCTCACCACTTTCTACAAGGTTTTGATTTTATTATTATTATTTTGGACACATTTATGACATTGTGTAAGCTTTCTAACAAAATCACTCATAATTTTGATGATTTTGCTTTCGGTGACACCTCATCAAAAGGTGTAAGCTTTTCATGTTAAAGAGAATTGAAACAAACAATGTAAAGTGATAAAAACTGACATTGGGACCCATTTTTTTACACTTTCCATCATTTTACATGGTAAAAACATACAACCAAACAGCCCCTTAGTCAACCAAACAACTTCATAACAAGTCATGAAATTTGTTTCTTCAAAATCACTCATATCATCTAATAATATTGTGACAACTCATCTCATCTCCTTTCTTAGGGGCTGTTTGGTTCGTTTTCTTGATATAGAGAAATGCAATTCCATGTAAAGAAACACAAGTTTTGAGTTTTTCAAACTTTTCCAAGAAATAGATTGTTTTGCTTTGGTTCACACATAAAAAATGGTGGGAAACCAATGTATTTATTTTTCTTGTGTTTGGTTCGCATAGAAAAAAAGGAAAACTTTTGTAAACAAAGCAGAGAAGGAAAAAAATCTGACGTGGCAGAGTTTTCATCAATTTCACTTGGTTGGGGAAGGAAATCGGAGAGGGAAAAAAATCTTAGTTGGCGACGATTTCAGCAGAGTTTTCCATCTTCCATTCGAGCGAACCAAAGCGGCACAAAGAAATGGACGGAAACAAAAAAGCCGACGTGGAGGGCTAAAAATCTGACGTGGAGGGGTTTTCTGAGTTTTCCACCCCTTATAATAGCGAACCAAACAGCCCCTTACTTTTAAAAAGTGAACCAAACATAAGAAAATAACCTATTATAGAAAATATGTTTATTTTTCTTTGATTTTCTTGTTTTTTAGCCAACTAAGCAACTCCTAAGTGCTGAACGCTTGATATTTTTCCTCAAAAATTTTGAGTTGCACTTTCTCTAAATAGTCCAAAAAATTATAGCAACAAAATCTTTCCTATTTCTCTATTACTCCTTCTTAATTCTCTTTTTTTTTTACCGTATATACTAGAAGAAGGCAATGAACATTACCCAATCATTTAATCTTTTTTTTCTTCAAGAGAAATGATGGGGCAAAATGCCCCATTGGAATTAATTTTCAATTTGGGCCAATCCTTTACTAATAGTCCTTTTGTAATTGGTCGCAAAATTTCTCTATTATACACTTTAGAAGGATATGCTCAGCTAATTCAGAATAAAATCTGCATAAAAGTCACTAACGATGCACAGTCCAATCTTTCTAGTAAGCAAATTAGAAGGCTCAATCATTTGTTTTGCTGCGCCAAACAAAAAACTTGATCTAAAAAAGTCCATAAAAATAAACCCATAAATAGATTTCACAAAATGACATGTCACCTCTATTACTTTTTGATAAATATAATAAAATCTCAAAAATCAAGAAAAAGAAAGTCCTCCAAACGTAAGAGTCAAAACCATGGGAGTAAGGGCTGTTTGGTTGGTTTCCTAAAAACCAAGAAAAGGAATTCCATGTACTTTTTGTATTAAAATATTATTATAATCTCTTATTTCCTATTCTTAACCATTTCCATTCCTAAAACTTACCACAACAATCAATAAAATATTATTTTATCATCCAACTCATCTAATAAAATATTATTTTATCATCCAACTCATCCAATAAAATATTACTTTTATCATCCAACATCTAATAAAATATTATTTTTATCATCACATCATCCAACTCATCTCATCTCATCCCATCTCATATTTAAAAATCAATCACATCATCCAATAATATGTGACAACTCATCTCATCTCCTTAAACTTTCATCTCCACCCATTTCCTCCAAAAAAACTAGGAAATGAGTTTCCTTAAGTGTGGGTCACATCATCCAATAATATAAAGACAACTCATCTCATCTCATTTCTTTTCTTAGTTTTAAGAATGAACTAATCACAATAAAGGAATCTAAACAAGGAAAGTCTTTTCCTTTTAAGTCTTTTCCTTATTTTTTAGCCAACCAAACACAAGAAAAGAACCTCCAATAAGTTTTATTTAAAAATCACTCACATCATCCAATAATATAATGACAACTCATCTCATCTTATTTCCTTTTTACTTTTAAGAAGTGAACCAAACACAAGAAATAGACCAATATTTAAGAAAACATTTTATTTTCTTCCCATTTCCAATTCTTTTAGCGAACCAAACAGCCCCTAAATTTCTAAGGACAGGACCGTCCTTTCTTTTCAACATAAAGCAAAAATAAACCACCCCCTGATCCTTCGGACACAAACCAAGAAGAATTGCCCCCTTTAAATATTCCCCCATAAAATTCTCATACCAAAGAAAACCAAAGGATCAAAATCTCGCATCAGCTTCCAGAACACAAAAACCCCGGAGATCTCGAGGATGAAGGGGATGAAAGCGTGCGAGCTATGCGCGGGCGCAGCCCGTATGTACTGCGAATCGGACGAAGCTAGTCTCTGCTTCGATTGCGACGCCAAGGTCCACGGCGCGAATTTCCTCGTCGCCCGCCATTCTAGGGTTTTACTTTGCCGGAACTGCCAGGATCCGACGCCATGGAAGGCGGCGGGAGCGAAACTCATCCAGGCCGTCTCGGTCTGCGATCGGTGCGTCGAAGGAAGATCGAAGAAGGTCGATGACGATGAAGCGGAGAGCAGAGAGAGGGTACATGCTGATGTTGATGCTGATGCTGATGATGATGATGATGATGATGATGATGATGAGAGTGATGGTGAGGGTGATGAGGAGGAGGAGGAGGAGGGGGAGGAGCAGGTGGTGCCGTGGTCGACGGAGCGGAGCCACCGCCGGTGACGACGACTTCTTCGAGTAGCGAAGAGGAGGCGGCGGATAAAGAAATGGTGGGGCCCGTCGGTAATGAATCCTTGAAGAGAATGAGACAAAATGCAGATCTTCCTCTATCTCAGGTATTTAGGTTTTTTTCCCTCAAAAATTCGTGTTCTTGGATCTTTTGATGATATCCAAATGAAGACATTATTACTCTTAAAAAAACGAAAAGCAGCTTATACGTTTCTTGTTATATTCCAACATCTCAAACGAGATGAAAAAAATGTTCTTTTTTGAAATTTCATGGTTGTATTCATTATTTTGTATCACATAAAATCCTTTGTTATTCTTTCTTTTATTTATCTTTACAATCCCTTCTCCGTTTCTATGTAGTTTGTAGAAATGTGAAGGGGAAAATAATTGTTGCAGTTTTAGGAATATCCCCTGAATTCCTCTCTAAGTCTTGATTTTGATGGTGCAGGATCAGCAGTCCTTTTCTTCCTCTTCAAGGCTTAGTTATCTCCCGAGTCCTGTTAGGACAACGGCCATTGACGAGACCGTATCAGACTCATTCCGGCCACTAAAAACCCGCAAGAAATTAGACCTCATTTGCTCTAATTCGCATAAGTTATTGGTTGATTTCATCTAAGTAAGTCTATTCTTTTTGAGTAATCCTTTGTTTTATACTTAGTATGAGATTTGAGAGGATCTTCAATTGGTTGATTTGTCTAATTGACAAATTAGGTATATTTCACAAAGTTTTAATATTTTCTTATTAGAATAATGTTCATGGGGTTCGAAGGTTCTGTTGCATGCTAGATATTCTGATGGAATTTGTGCACAACTATCCAACCCACAACTTCAAGTTAGAGCTTGTGGGCTGGGGCAGTTAACTTGTAATTGCCTACCTTAAAACTATCTAGGAAATTAGTAAATACGAATATTAGGAGGTGTTTGGTTCAATTTCTACAAATTATAGGAAATGTTTTTTCACCCAAAATATGATTTCCTTGTATTTCTTAAAAAAATTATAGTAAAAGTTTTGAGAAGTCAAAATGTACCAATTTTCTTGTTTTTTTACTTTGCTTGTTTGGTTCAAAACAAGAAAATGACCCAGAACTTTATAGAAAATAGCAAGATTTCCTATAATTTGTAGAAATTGAACTAAACATCTCCTAAATTTATAGAAAAGTGTCAACTTTATAGAAAAGTGTCAATGTGATGTCAGATTCCTAGGTGATTTCCGCCCATTTTGAGAGAAAATTGATTTATGTAAATTTTTGGTATTTTTTTGTATTTTACAGAAAACATTTTTGTAAATTTTTTGAACCAAACATAGTTTATGGAAATCCACAGAAAACTTTAATTACAGAATTGTCATTGTCAGACATTTTAAGAAAACTTTTCTATAAAATTGTGCAACCAAACATCCCTTTAGTATACACTTATTCTAATCTTGATAAAGACAAAATCCTAACTATCAAGAATTTTGGACCAAATGGCTATTTCATAGTGTTACACATGAATTAGGTGGCAAATTAGACTTATAACTATAAATAAATAAATAAATAAATAGCTAGTTGTTTCGTGTGGTTGTAGTAGGAGATATTCTGATAGAATTTGTGTTCTTTTTTAATGTTAAGATTGCTTGATGTACATAAATTGCACACAATCCACAAGTTCGAGATAGAGCTTGTGGACTGGAGCGGTTATCTTTCATTTGTCTATTATAAAATATCTCTGGTTAATAAGAATATGACCATAAACTTATTTTAATCTTGACAGCGGTCAATATGACTAAGACAAAAATTTAACTTTTAAGATTCAAGGATCAAATGGCTATTTCATAGAACACATGGATTAGGTGATGCATTAGACTTTAAACTAGCTAAGAAAAAACTAATAATTTTGAGTGGTTGTGGTGGGAGAAGGGATGGTACTGTTCACTAGTCAGCATCAGTCCAATTCCAAAGGGGCCAATTTTGGTGCATCTTTGAGATCCTTAATGTTTTGCTACTTGGTGGTTGGGTTAAACTTCGTGAGAGATGCTGACTACACCAAAAGCTAGAGCTCCAACTATCTTTAACTAATTACCCCACATTGCTTTGTCTTTGAGGTGGAAGGAGATTGCGTGAAGTAACTTGTTTGCTCTTTTAGTTTTATGATTGTGGTTATTAGCCACTAAAAATCTAGACTAGAAAAGAGCAAATAAGGTTGATCAGCTGAATTTTGCATGACATGTCAGGTTTCTATATGAGAGAGAGTAGGTGGGCCTGTTATAATGATGGTTCATGTAACTTGTGCTCTTCTTGCATAGCGATGGTCCCTGGTGCATGTAACAATAGTTTCAGGACCACCTTAATACTTTTTCCTTGCTGATGCTTTTGTGGATATAGCAGGATATAACTCATTCCCCGTAACTCATTCCAGGAGCTCATTACTAGAATTATTTCCTTATCGGAACAGAAACCCCAAGGGTTGGGATAGTTTATGATTGGCACTGATTCGCAATATAATCGGACGACTGAGAGTTTTCCTCAATTATTATCTAGTTTTTTAGCATATTTAATCTTACGAGACTTGCGCCAATCATTTTTTATCTTTTAATTCTGGGCACATTGCTAACAATATTTTTCTTTTGCCCCAAAAAAATTGTTCATCTTTGGGTGCTCTGTTTTAGAGTAATATTCAATGAACATGATTATTTTCCTATCTTGTACAGTAGCCCATAATTGTTCTTAATTTATAATTACATACCGACATGAGGTGCCTTGTTTTGTAAGGCTCTTCATGCTTTTATTATAAGTGAGCTTAGTTGTGTCTTTGTAAGGAAAGGGTTCTGATTATTAAAGTATCTAGAATAATAGTGAGCATCTTTAGACTGATCATCTCTTTTGGGTTTCTTATGTTGATGACGATTCTCCATCGACGAATCCCTTTGACCTTTTGAAAGTAGACTCCTTTGTCATGTAATATGCTATGAGTGGAGGCTTGTGGTTGGAAGTTATTTTCTCTATCTTCAAGAGGTTGATGAGAAAGTAAGGAGAATGTCAACGTGGGAGTTTTGTTGATTATTTGGTTAGTGGGAGATTCGTGTCGGGGAGTTGTGGTTATACTTTTGTTAAAGGTGAGAAATGAGAAGAAAGGTTATTTAGCAGTAATCTTAATTAATTAGGGGACCAACCATTTGCCTCTCCACATATCAAGGCTTTAATCCTGGTTGTAACCTTGTGTCTATATCTGTAAAGAACAATATTTGACCTGGTTAGAGTTAAATTTGATTGCGTACTGATCACTATGCCTCTCATCTAAGCGATATCCCTAAAGGCATCCAATACAAGCTATTATTATTTTTTAAGGAACAAGTTAGGAATTTTATACTGCCAAAAAGTGCGCAAGGAGTAAAATCAGACGTTTCTTTATTGATTATGGAAAATAATGCTCTTGTACAATGGAGTGCCTACATTCAACAAATATCTTATAATCATATAGAACAATTTAGCGATCTGTTTTACTTTCACATAAATATCCGATGCGATGCACTTTATTACCATTCGGTTTGAACTTATTTATCTCTCTGAATAGTACTAAAAGGTCTTTTGCCTGTGCTGCAGATTGTTGCTTGGTTCTTCTAAATGTTGCTGTAAAAGAGATGGAATAGCTGCTGTTTTGACAATATTTGGATTGAGGCAGTAGAAAGTGATGGCCCTAAGTATTAATGTATTATTCTGGTAGCTAATTATGATTGTGGCTGTTGGCTAACTCTCAAAATTTTAAGTACTGAGGATCATTTTGCATCTGTAACTCTTTTTTGTGGTTCGACGAACTAAAGAGGATCTTGTGCTTCGTTTGTCACTGTATTTTCTTTTGTTACAATACACTCCCTTTCTGCGTATCACTGTTTGCATCATCAATTTAATTTTCAGCACAAAAATTGTCTGCGGGGGTCCCAAGTCTTACCCCACTATTCTAAAAAACTCCCAACCTTTTTTACTTTTATTCTTTTAATGCCCCTGACCTCTACCTCTCCTGTCTGCGTATCACTGTTTGCATCATCAATTTAATTTTCAGAACAAAAATAGTCTACAGGGGTCCTAAGTAGGGGTGCTAAACTGTATACGTATCCGAGGAAATATCCATAACCGTATCCGTTAGGATACGGATATGGTTGCTCAAATATATAACCGATAAGATATGGTTACGAATATGGTTTTGTAGTGAAATATCCGTATCCGAAATACCCGAATACATATTAGTCATGCTCTTACCCGTAGTTTCGATTCTTAGATTGTGAATGAATATATTAACGAACTCTTTTGTATCTTAACTTTTCAGTTGTAATGAATACATATTAATTTTAATGATCAAGATGTCTAATCTTAACTTTTCAGTTGTAATGAATATATTAACGAACTCTTTTGTATCACATGAACTATATTTTTCTCAATACTATCTACTTTTCTCATATCTATTTTGTATCTGTATGCATATCCGCTTATATATCCGCATGTATATCCGTAACCGTATCCGATTTTAGCGGATATGGTTATAAATTTTCCTTACAGAGATATATTCGGATCTGTATCCGTATCCGAGATGGGTAAACGGATATGAATATGACAAGCATCATATCCGAATCGTATTTGGACCGAATGCACCCCTAGTCCTAAGGCTTACCCCGCTATTCTAAAAAGCTCCTACGTCTATTTATTTGGGTGGAAGTAACTATGAACTTAATTGCTGATGTGACGCATATGTGTCGAGTCTCTATTTTTAAAAAAATATTTTTCTAACATTCAAGACTTAAATAGGTGAAACATAAGTCAATTTGGGAACAATATCAAATTTTGCATTACATGAATATTTTTCATTTCTAAATAAAATCTCAAGAGATTTTCTTTCCCTCTTCCTAATAATATTTTCAATTACTATATGAAACTAAAGTGAAATACAAGAAATAATGTTCTCGCTACTTTCAAAAATATGTGTGTTGATATTAAATAATCAAACAGTCAATATAGTAGGGGTGAGGTTGATTAGGGGCCGCTCACTTTTTCGAATATCTAGTTTTGAGTTGAGGAGTTTTAACCTGCACAAGGAGCAACTCGTGAGAGGACGTGAACTAGTTCCCTCGTGGTTCCTCCGACGATCAAATTAGTTGATGAACTTAAGTGGGAAAATGAAGAACTATGTGAGTTCTTTAGTATACTATAGTATAATTATCAGATATTGCTGGGAAAAATAGCCTGGAAAAAATCCATCTTTATGTAGAGACTAACACCTCTATTATAGTGGTGCTTAAAGGATAGAACGGTAATTTCGGCTGAGCACAGGATGTCGGCAAATAAATATGGGCTGACAACTGTGTCACCACCTACTTTACACGTGTCGATCGACGAGTGGAGGAGATGTCACATCGGCATTTAATTAGAAGTGGTTGGGGGCATGGCGGTGCTGACGTGGTCTGATGTGTCATGAAGGCTATCAGTGCTAAAGAAATAATGACGCCTGCCAAGCATTTAACGTGACACCGACGTGCTGTTAGCGGGAGAGGCTTGAGGTTGAAGTCATCGTTTAGCTTGGTCAAGAAGTAACGCCTCTTGAGTTGAACTTGCATGGTGTTGAACAACTGGTCGAGTGTGCTTGTACCGAGTCGTCTTCAACCAAAGGGCCGACAAGTACCGTCATTCGAGTCGATCTAAGGAGATGTTGACTTGGCAGGTCGGCTAAGTCAAGATTCTTGGTTGCCCTGACCGTCAATTTAGTTTGAGCGGTGCATGTAAGGGGACACCTGTCCGTTTATGACAAACAGTCATACTTTAGCGACTAAAAACAATGTGAAACAAATAATGCAATAAATTTATATTGGTTACTTTCAATACTTCTTGTCATTCAAATGAATGCTATGTTTCATCTCTCCCTTCTAAGAAGTCCCCATCTTTCTTTCTTGAAAAAACAAATCCCTAAATTAACATGAAGAGGTGGTGGCTTCCTTTTTTTGAGAGGTGCGTTAGGGCGTACGACGGGGCGGGGCGGAGCGGTGAGCTCGAACAGCGGACCGAAATCGCGCCCAGCTTTCCTTGGGGTGAAGACTCGTCCATGATATACTCAGTGTTGCGGGTTGGGCTAGGTGCTCTAAAACCAATGGAAAAAGAAGCAGGCCCGGCTCACGCCCGACCCGGCCCGCTTTAGGTAATAGTTACATTTTGTTATGATTTTAAAAGCAATTCAATTGAAGTTACAATCTCTTAGTATTTGAGTTGCAATTTTAGTAGCAGTAGAGATTTTATAAGCTCAATTTAGTATTTTGATGAATATTTGTAGTCATCTTTGATTTAATGAAAACACTCAAATTAATGTTAATATTTTGTCCTTTGAGATAATTCCATCACTAATTATAAAATGTATAGGGTTTACAACTTTTAGAAATATAAAATATAAGTTTTTCTCTTTAAAACTATACATTCTAATCTAGTAAAATTTTTGAAAAGATAAAAAACTAAAAAGAAAAACTAAACAAAAAAAGGAGTACATGCCGAATCGTGACCTGAAACCGCGTGAGCTACATGCAGGCCACTGGAGTTAGCGCTGCGGTCCACCCCTAGACCTAGGGATAAAGTCTTCAGCTCCGACCCTCCAAGGCTGCCGCGGCCCAGGTCTGAATCGAGATTTTGAACAAAAAAAAACATCAACGGGCTTGTTCATGGGCTTAGAGCCCGATCCCAGCGCACGCCATCCGGGGGGTGGGGGGGGGCGGCGTGGCGGTTAGGGGTGGGGTAGAAACTTAGAGACTTTGCTATCGTAAAAAGAAAGTTAAGAGCTTCTTAGAAGAAAATGGTAAAATTTATAGAAAGGAGGGTTTCTTAGAAAAATGGATAAAAGCTAGGCATGGTTTCGTGTGCAGAGATAATTATGAATGGAATGCTCATTCCCACTTCTTATTCATACATACCAAACACACTATTATATTAGAAGCTAGAATGTCCATTCTCACTTCTCCTTCATTTTCAAATTTTGTAGGAATGAGCATTCCTAATGAGTTGCTAGGGAAAAAGCATTACCACTTAAGTAAGAATCAAAAAATTAAAATTCATACACAATATTTTTAAATTATTTATTAATCATCTATGTCAAAAATAAAAAGTTTTTTTCCCACTTCATTCCCTAATGACACTCAAATATGAGCATGAAAATATGCATTCCATTCTTAGGCTCCTTCTATTTCATTCACCGCTCTATTCTCTTCTCACTTAATCTGATTCCCACTTAGTTGGGGAGGCTCAAATGCTCTTTGGACTATGTATACTCTTTTCCGGTATGTGATAATCTGATATCTTGATAATATGGGCTGGGTGGTTGTGCATTGGATCAATGATCCAGCCCGGACAGCTAAATTGATCGTTGAAGAATGGCCATAGTCTTTTTGTAGCCAAAGCCCATTTTGCAGCCAATGCCCATGTTGCAGATGATATTAGTACCATTAGCCTTTAGCCCACTTTGAACAATAATGTTTGGGCTTATGCACAAATGTACCCGTCAAGTCTTCAATATTTTACTAACTGTTCCTCAGATCTTGATATTTACAAACCTATCCCTAAAACTAACATATTGCCATATAGGGTCTTTCTACCACTCCAACTTAAAATGGGTGGTATCAAAATTCCTAATAATTTCCAAAGACTTGCAACAATTTCCTATTTAAATACTAAAATTGCTAAGTGAAAGGGGTATAAAAATCAACGGGAGAGATTTTTTTTCTTTTTGTTTCAGGGGTGGTGTAGATTTGACGAATGAATTGGTTTAGAATAGGTTTTGGAAGTAGGAGTTGGTTTTTGGCGGTGTACGGTCGACCGCGGTGCAAGGCCGATCGACCGTATTCGTGCACGGACCCTGGGCTTGATTCAGGTCTTGGTGCGGTCAACCGCTAGACCCTGTAATCCAAACCCGAGAGTCTGGAGTTAGGTGCAGTCGACTGCGGCGATCGACCGCCAAAGCCTGCAGTTGTTTTTTGGGCTCTGTCATTTGTCGCGGTCGACCGCGTATCGGGTCAGACCCAAATTTGTAGTTTCTTGTTCTGAATTGGTTTGGTGTTTGGTATAAATACCAACATGTTTTAGGGTTTCTGGGGAGGTGAATAGGGGATATTTGGAGCACAAAAAAGAGGTATTTTCTGGAGCTATTGGTTAGAGTTTTGTTTGAGAGATTAAGAGCTTTGTTGGTAAGATTAATTAATGAGTTTGAGTAATTTGTAATCTCAGTTTGTACTCTTCTTTTCTATTAGTGAAAACCTCATCCCCTTCATGCCCCGTGGACGTAGTCAACTTGCCGAACTACGTAAAATTCATTGTTTTGTTTGTACCGTTATTTTGGTTTGTTTGGCTTTCTCTCTTGGCATTGGTATTTGTTCTCGGCACCCCATCGGTTTGGCTTCCGTGCACAACAAGTGGTATCAGAGCTTTGGATATGCTTGAGGATTGGTGGAGGAGTAGATCGCTTTGGAAGCTCGTCTAGGGTTTCAGTTGGTGATAAAGGTGGGATTTTTACTATTATAGACATTGTCTTCCGTCGTGTGGGTGTGAGATCTTTTGGAGACTCTAGTTAGGGTTTCAATTGGAGGGAAAAATCTACCTTTCTCGCAGTTTGGATCTATTTTCTTTCAGTTTATTCTGTATTAGTTTGTTGGTGCTTTGAGGAAGATGGCTGAGAAAGAATGATTTGAGGCTGGGATATTCGATTGTTGATGTCGTGCATGGATTGTTGAGGAGTACTTTGACCTGCATATTAAAGTCCTGTTAGCACATTGGTATGAGCAAGGAGACCGAGGTGGAGTTTGACACTTCTATTCATCGAGCGAGGGGTCTTTTAGATGGTGTTCATTCAGGCATTTGGGAGCCTTCCAAGGAGGCGTCATTGA